ACATAAGTGAAACATAACATCTGCAAAAAAAAAAAAAAAAAATGTTGTGGGAGATTTTTTGACCAGTCATAGTACTAACCAATACGTTAATAGGGAGGGGAGATGGTTTTCCTTTTGTGAGTGCTTGCTGAGCACTTAACAGCCACTCCTACTGTGACTTCTGTGACCTTTGACCACTTGAGTCTGCTATTTCTGCCCTAGTGGCAGGAAGGCTTATATCTGACTTCCTTTAGGTCATTTGCTTGTTTTTTTAGTTGTGCGGCCTATATAACTATAGGTGCCAGTTTTGAAGGGCCCCAAGCTTGATTGGGTACAGTGGGATGCTAGCATATATCCAAAGGTCACTTTGTGTGCAGTTTTTATGATGTGGATACCTGATTAATAAGACCTGGAATGAGATCACTGTTGTATTTCACAAAGGACACCTAACAGTCATTAGATGGTAATGAATTTTGACTACAATTATCATATCCTGTAATTCATTTGGTAACTGATGGGTAAAAGACTGGGGCCCAAAGACCTCTTATATTAGGGAAAGTGTATTGGAAACCTGTATCATATCCCACAGAGCATATTTTTAGCTTTTTGTTTAGGACCTAAACATTGTATCTATGATTTTCATAACCGCACGGGGCATTTGAGAATTGAACTTCGTAATCCTCCAGGCACCTTTTAAAAATCTTTGCTTGTAGCAGTTTACTAGACCTACAGTACTCAGTTAATAATATTTTTGTTATTAGAGGATAAACGGTCATGTTCTACAAGCAGATTATATTTAAAAATGTTATACCATTGACTAGCTTTCTGGCTATAGTTTAAGCCATTCTTGTGGCTTCTTAATAGTGTAATGTGAAAGGGATACACTTTAGTAGGATGTGGTGCCAGGTTTTGCATATGATTAAAGAGCTTTTGCAGTTCATATTGCTCTTGAGTGCAACTAAAAATAATAGGAATCATGTCTTCATTTAACTATCCCATCGTGTCTATACTGCTGGTGACTGCTCATTTCTGACATACTACAAAAATGGAACCAAAGACCCACTTGCTTTTGTTCTTTTTTAAATTCACAACTTAGTGTTTTTTATAACACTGTAAAACCAAAAGAAAACTCAGCCTTATCACGTAACTAAATCCCCCAGAGTTTTAGGTTGAATTAGGCCAGCAGAGCAGCACATGTATGTGAGGGCAAATGCTGACAATATGGGCAAAATCGCTCAGAAGTTTCCCACCAGACTTGGTGACACAGTCATAGGCTGGATGTGATTCAACTGGTTGGTTTATTTTCCCCATGGGTGTAGTCTATTTATTGCCTTTGCTAGCAAGTCAGCCTTTTTGTATGTCTGATGATACTTCAATATAGTGTGAATAACAGATAGGGTGAAGCACACAGTAGGTGGGAGGAGGTGGGTGTGGGGTGGGGAAATGGGGTAAGAGAAAGAGGTTTGGGACATGAATAACCTTTGCAAGTGTCTTTCCATCTCTTTAGCTGCTTATAGCAGATGAAATTTTGATAGTGATTTGTGCAGATAATGATTTAACCCAGAGCTTTATTCTTTCCACAGTGGGTAAGCCTCACAAGTGTAACTACTGTGGCCGGAGCTATAAGCAACGCAGTTCATTGGAGGAGCACAAGGAACGCTGCCACAACTATCTGCAGAATGTCAGTATGGAGGCTGCTGGGCAGGTCATGAGTCACCATGGTGGGTGGAAATGATGCTTAGGAATCTCTAGTGCTTTGGAGTATCTTTTCCACTTGTTTCCTTTATATATACATATTAATTATTTTAGCTTTAAATTAACCACCTTCTTTCTGGTGCAGATATCTACAAGAAAGGGAAAAAAATCTTCCATGAAATCCTAATCCCTTTGAAGTTAGCAGCAAAGCTCCATTAACTTCAGTGGGGCCAGAATTTTTCGGGTTTTTTTGGATAAGCATGCATGTGTAATAATAACTTTTTTGGGTGTATTTTATGCTTGATATATATGCTTAATGTGGGTATAATAGATATGTGTGCATGTATAAATATATGTGTATATGATCTTAAAAATAAAATTCAGCCAGGAAAAACTATGAAAAATTGACTAGGCTAGGCAGAAAAAAACTTTTCTATTTCTGCCTTTTATCATAATGACTGATCATTATGAAAACATTAACAATTAATAACATTCACAGTAACAGTGTTATACTCTACAGGAATTTGCATAATTGTTCAAGATTGAATGTGATGTATATACGTGCATACATACATGTGGTATATTTATCATGTGTAAGATATATGTATGTATTTTTATATAATAGTCACGACTGCTGTAAATAGTACATTGAAAAAGAGTATTGATGCTTTTCATGTGGAATAAAGGGATTTGCAAAAGAGGATATTAAATGCCAGGAATTTCAAATTATATTTTATTTAAAAATCTACTGTACCTAAAATAAATAAATACATAAAAAAAAATTAAAAACAATTATGCTACTGAACTGCAAAAAGCATGATATATCAAGTCATAGGAATATAATTTTCTCTCCAGTTATAAATATTAAAATTTTCAAAATGCCAAATCATAAGACAGTATTAATTTAAATTTTTATAAATCAATTTCTGTTATTTTTAAATTGTAATGAAACATTTTTATTTTTCAAATTATTTTGTTTATCTTTTTCAGTTTTGCTTATAAGAAACATCAAAAGTGACAATTTTTCCTTTTTCTTTAATCATACCATGCGCCTTACCAAATGTTTAAAAAGAGATCTTGCGGAAAAATGAAAGAAATAGAAAAAGAAGAAACAACTTTTTTTTCTTTCTTGTTGGTAATATGCAACTTTCTATTGGTCAGCTTTGTCATACAATATAGTTTTTAAAATTACTTAAGTTTCTGTGGAATAATTTTCAAAAATATCAAATGAGAAGCTAAAACAAAAAGATACTGAATATAAAATAATTGATTTTAGTAGACAGAGGAAGGATTCATGAATGACTGAGTCTTCCCCTTGAAACAGATTGACACAGTCACAATAAGGGGGTAAAAGTCCATCTGTGAGAAATGGATTAATTCAAAGAACCCCCACACATTTGCTTCTCTCCCTTATTGTGACGTGAAAAATATTTTTGAGGGTTAATATTGGTATCGTTTGATTGCATTGCCATTTCAGATATGCATTTGGATAGCTCAGTAGCACACTAGATTTTTTTGCTGCATCGTTTCATAACTATTTATTTACTAAGAGCTTTCAGGGAATTACTAATTGAGACTACATAAAGTCTATTTCTTAGAATGGCAGCTTATATTATCAATGGACCGTCGCATACTTACATAGGTGTAAACCATAGTAATAGGACATCTTCCTATCATCTTCAAACCACTGTGCAGGGTTGGCTTGGGATTTACTGAAAAAATCTGTAGGCAGATTCTTTGGGGCAGTGCCAAAATTAATTCAGCAAAATGGAAATGGTGTTGTGAAAATGTTGGGGTGGGGATTTTTTTGGTCTTAACCAGTATCTCACTGTAAGCACCCAGCTGGTTGTACTCAGTCCCATGCAATCTTGCCAGTGATTAAGGTTTTTGTTTTTTTTTTTTTTCAAGAGTGAATTATTCTAACAAGCTGGGGGCAGCCCCTGGAGTGTTGTTTATGCGTTCTGCTCAATTTGGTCCATTTATAGCACATTACAAACATTTACTCATGCATTCTCACAACAGCCCTGTGAGGCCCACAAGTACAATTATCTCTGTTTTACAGATAGATCACCTGACAAAAGCCCCAAAGGGAGTTCATGTCAAAGCATGGGTTAAAGGGCAGAAATTTTTCACACCCAGTTCCTCCATGATCCATTCTAGAGCTGCCTCATCTTGTGGTTGTAGACCATAGTGCTTGCTCAGCAAAGCAATTTGCTCATTTGCAAAGGCTACTTGCAGAAAGAGGGTTGTGATTGTCTTAATGCCATCAGTACTATTCTTAGTGACACTTGCCCTTCTCATTGACAAGTGGTCAGGGAATTTCAAGTTTAATAAGTTTAATGGGTCATAGCCATAGGTGGATATGAGAGCCACCCACACTGGATGCCAATAGTGGTAATCATAAATAATTTTTAATGTTCAGGAGAAATTGGAAACAGGGTGCACTGAAAAGAAAGAGAAGCACTTAAAATAAATGCATCAGGAATACTTTCAATTTAAGACTAGTCCAGCCTTGGGCTCCGTACACCCTAAAAGCTGACTCTGTGTAGTATAAGCAGCATATTTATGATTTTATTCCTATGTATTTGTGGTTTAAATGCTTATCCCAATGAACATTTTCCACCAGAGATCTATGAACTTATTTTCCTACCATTCCTTAATATCAGTATTGCAAGCTGAAAAAAAGACATAGGCAAAAGGTGGCTTTGTAACTGGAGCAAGGCTGATTTTATACCAGCTGGGGATTTGACCCTATGTCAGCTGTCTGTCCTCAGAGACACAGTCACTTTGGTTATGCACATTTCTTGGTTACTTAAATTATGCAGAAAATCTTATTAAACGGGCATGATTAATACAGTTGAAAATAGTAAGCACCAACAAGTGTTCTGAGTCCAATCTTTTGTTATCCAGTCTGATGCTTTGTGGATGGAGAATGGAACACTGGAAACTCAGAGGCCCAGCGAAAGACTGGGCTGAGGCTGGGCTAACAAGAGCTTTTAGTGTTACTTTTAAAATCCTCTATGGAAGTTATCAGAGGTAACCAAGCATCTTTGCTTAGGCTCCAATCCAGGAAAGCAGCTAAACTTTTGCTTAAGTTCATCCATAATCAGAAAGATGCTTTTAAGCATGTGCTATATAATGCATGCATGCATTAATTATAAAACAGAGGTACTTTTCTAAATATGGGCCTCAGTTGTGAGCACATGATAACTTTTTGTTTGCCTATTATATAGGATTAGTATTGTTTAGTTAATTTGTAGAGTTGGTTTTCTTTTAACTTTGAATTACATTGACTGAAGTCAGGGCTGTCCAGTTGGTGACCTGTGGGCCATATGTGGCCCATGAGCAGTTAACGTGCAGCCCCAGCCCTCCCTTCCCCCATCTCTTGTCCAGACATCATTCCCCCTATCACTCTGGCTGCTGCTACAGCCAGGTTCTCTGGGCTCCTTCTTTTGCTTCTTGCTCTTACCCCGGGGGACAGGATGGTACAATCCATGGTGCTGGGGGAGCTGAGGTGAGCACCATGTACACTGTTGGGGATAGGAGTGACCATACAGTAGGGGGCATCTGACCACATACGCTGAGATGCGTCTCCATGCTGATGGCTTTCACTTGTGCATCTCTGGGGAACACGGCCCTCACCCACTTAGAAGCTGGACATCCCTGACTTAAGCTATTGACTGATTTTTCTTAAAATCATAACAAAAGCAAAAGATGACTTGTGTTATATCATCATGCAGGAGATGGGTTTCTGATTACCCACCTGTCAGATTTTCTTAAGGTATGTGCTGTATGTTTTGAAGTTGTCAGGGCAGGGGGTGAAAAAAGGTCTTGCTTTGACTTTTTGAATACAAGATGTTTAGCTAAGGTTTTAAAGTTTCCATACAGGCATCATCTAACCAATCTAATCTTGATTTGTATGTGGTTTAACATATGTAGATTCCCTCTCCCCCCTGAAATCTGCATAATAAAATGTGTTATGGTAACTTAGCTTCACAATAATATAAATATTGAAATGAGACGCACATGATAATGTCTCTGTTTGGAACTCTACTGCATTGGCAAAAGTCTCTTGCCCTAATACAGTGGTGATCAACGTTTTTGGCAGGCATGTGCCACAAGTTAATCCTTGCCAACTCCCTGAGTGTTGTTCTCTCTCTACCCATCAGGGGCATACTGGATAGAATTTGCTGGAATGGTGGCTTGGGGGAGAGGGGCTCAGCTCAAGGCCCTGAATTTGGCTGTAGGGCCCCAGGGGAATGGTTAACCTGGCTGTTGGTGGTGACCCCTCACACTTCTCACTCCTGCCTCCATTCTAGCACCTAGGGCTTGCGTGCCACACACACTAACTGTCCGTGCCATTGCCATGAGTTGCTTACCTCCGCCCCAGTTTAATGGAGAGTGGCCTTGTTGCTAAATTAGCATATTGAGTTGAGCCCTGATGCTGAATATAGGGCAATGTTATTTTAATATCAGTTTCAAATATGTGAAAGAATATGGTCAATTGATAGTGATATTCCACATTGTAGTCAAAATTAAATCCTTATTTATGTAAGACACTGCTAGTTGCCCTGTGCCTTTAAAAAATTTCCCCTTTAAGTTTTCAGTAAATGAGTAAGCCTAACAAGCTATCCAAATAGTCTTCCTTATTCTAGCCTGCATATATTATCCCTGGCCTCTTAGCCTGCTCTGGATATTAATTAGGTCATTTGCGTAGCACACATCATGTTTCTTAAAACACTAGGTTTCATTTTGTATTTATGCTTTTTCTCTTCCATTTATTTTCACTGGTGCCAGCAGGATACACTTGTAAATGAGAAACCATTGTGTTTCTCAGTGGGAGTATCCTGTAGAAATAAAAGAGCAGCAGAGTAAATCATTTTATAGCATATGCTGTTTTCTAAGACTCAAAGCAGCTTTCTGTAGAAGCAGAGGCACAAAGGGAATCAGATGAATAAATTGTCATGTTTTCCTGCTTTGAATATCTGAATTGGGAACTTCACCTGAACAGATATTTTGTTTTGTAATTGCCTATTATTTGTTCTTCTTTACTAGAAGGCAAAGACTAGACTTCTATTTTTCATGTGTACCGTGCTAGCAAATAGCCATATGTTTAATAACTGGGGAGTCATTATTTTGTTTTAAAACACTGATATCTGTAGCATACCAGTATAGACTTTAGCTAAATCATGTTTCTCCTTTACATATGTATGCATTTATGTAGCAACATAGCAGCACTTCTTAACACTTCTGTACAGTTTGGATCCTGTTTCTACTTGTTGCAGAATGGGAATCCTCTGCCTGACAAGAGTGGCAGCTGCTCAGTAGCCCACTGTTTAGGATGCTTGTCCAGGTTCTAGGCCCAAAAGGGGTTTAAACCTGTATCTTTGCTCCAAGCACAGTGCTCTTACAACTAAGCTGTGGGTTAGACAACAGAGCATTTGCCAGCATTCCTCTTGAAGCGGCCCACTGTACCTTGTATTTTGTATTCATTGGCTACCATGGATAAATAGCATTAATATGTTAATGTCCATCACACTGAGGACAGGGGTATAGCCTAATACTTATGGCCATTTCCCATCTCATAGAATCAGACTCATGGAAAATTAGGGTTAGAAGAGACCTCAGGAGGTCATCTAATCCAGCCCCCTGCTCAAAGCATGGTGATTCCCAACTATATCATCCCAGCCAGGGCTCTGTCAAGCTGGGCCTTAAAAACCTGCAAGGATGCAGATTCTACCACTTCTCACTGAGCCATTCTCCTTCAAGCTTGCTTTTTTCCTCCTGGTCACACATATCTTCTGTCTTTTGGAGGGAGCAGGCTGGAGAGTGTTCTGGATAAAACAGACAAAAAGTGGTGGGAACAGTTTCTGTCCTATTCAAGGCCAGAACCCAAGCCCCCTTCCTATCACAGTAGTAGCCATTTTACTGAATCCCCCACCCTCTGCCATGTTCTTCTCCTTCTGTCTCCATATATCTTTACTCCTGGGTGCCCAATCAGCCAACTTCAAGAGGAAGGCTGAAAAGAACTTTTGGCATTGATTATTAGCCTCTGGAGTGGTGGCTAGAATACTTTACAGAAATGCAAATTCAAATCTGGATTCCCTACTCCTTGGACAGATGCCTGTGCATGTGTGTTGGGTTGCGGGGGGGGAAGGGGGGGCAGAGTGGCTTCTCCTCTGTGTTGTGGTTTTTCTATGACCAAAGTTTTGGGATTTATTCAGTATTATGCATGTGCCTGGGCAATTCTATTCCACCTATGTGGTCAGAGTGCAGCCCACCAAGTATGCACAGAAGGAAACCATTAGGAAAGTATAGTTACACAGAATCCCATACTTTGCCTAAGTGTCAAAAACTGTAATTATGTAGATGCATAAATGCCACATAAGTGCATGGGAATGAAATAAGATTTACATTTTAGGTTCCAGTCCCACTCACCTATATTTGGCAGAGCTCCCATTGTCTTGAGTGTGAATTTTGCCTACAGAACAAGAGCATGGAATGGGCCTCCAGGTCATATGAGTTTAAAGCAGTCATTTGCTGTGCCATTCCAGAAACCTGTTTGGCCAAAAATTCCAGAAACCTGCCAAAAAAAAATTCTTAACTATAAATCTTAGAGCTACTATTGCCAAGGTAGCACAGTGATACAGACAGTTGAACCTGCTCAAAAAAATGCTACTTTCTGGGGATGAATTAGGGACATTTAAACTATATTTATTAGAATCAGTGCTATGGAACAGTTGAAACAACTTGAATCACTTTTTGTCAGATACAAATTCCTCTAGCTCTTGTGAAACCTACTGTAATACATCTGAATGATTCAGAAACTCCTGAGCCAGATCCTCAACTGGTGATAATCAGTTTCTAGTAGGTGAACAGTAGTGAGTTTTGTCAGCTAGGCACATTGGGCACTTACAGACATGCAGGGAGCAGACTCGATTAATCAAATCTGCTGAAGCACGTAAATTGACATGCTCTGGCAGCCTCTCACGTCGTGTATTTCAGTGATGCAGCACGTCTCCACACTGAGAAAATGGTGGCGGTGCACTTTGAAGTAAAACATGCTTGATGTGCTTTAGTTCAAAACACACTGCCACCATTTTCTCAGTGCAGGTATGCACTGCATCACTGATACACATGACGTGCAGGCGCTTTTAATTAGTGTGGCTTGCTAATTAAAAGTACCTGGCACACTGTCAGGAGCACGTGTAAAAATGCCCATGCAGTTTATGTTAGCGGGTAGACTGTGTTAGCTTGTAGTCAATGGAATTCACATGCGTTTGGCTCCTGTTCCTACTTTCTAGCTGATATAATCAGGGTAGACAGGAGGTAGAGTATGAAATAAGGAAAAGAAGGAGGTACAATGAATTTTCTTTATTGCTACAAGAGAAAATACATAAGTATTCTTTAATATTCCTTTTTCATTGAAGTAGTTCTTGCAGCTATCACAAGGGACGTTGTCTGCTAATCTCAAATGGCGGAGAGATGTCCATAAGGCAATTTTGATGTGCCTTTGGTGTTTAAGACCTTAAAAAATATTTGTGAACCCCTGTTTTATGTCATTGATCTAAACAGGGAAATTCCATGAGATGTTAATCCTATATTCTGAAGGCAGTTTACGTAGAAAATCAGCAATCTCACGTGCATTTAGAAAGTCCATCTTTTGAGACGCCTCTTAATTCTGGGAGTCTCTATTTTGGATGTAGAACATGAAGCCTGAATTTCTGTTGCCCTGAACTTTATTTTAATCACTGATACAAGAGCAAATGGTAATATAAATTGGTACCAGGTCAAAAGTGTAGCATTTCACACTCCCTTTGCTTTTGTGTCAATTGACAATACCAGGTGTAGGGCAATCCAGAATCTAACCTATATAATGATTTTTTTAAGTGCTGTGAATCCAGAGACCCCTCAGATAAACATAATTTGGAGTTACATGTGCTCAAAATATTTGAAAATGAGGCCTTAACTAAGAATTTAAATTGGCACCCACAAACAGAGACTTGGAATTGGAGGCTGTTTTTGATAACATGGCTCTAACTGCTTGAACGTTGTTTCAGTGTTGATTGAGTTCCTTCACCTTGTATACTGGTATTTTTACTCTCAGCCATTTGCAACAGGCCTCAAAAATGGTTAGCACCATATATTAAGTGTAGACAGACTTGTCTGACATAACTTTTTGGTTTTATATAGTACCTCCTATGGAAGATTGTAAGGAACAAGAGCCTGTGATGGACAACAATATTTCTCTGGTGCCTTTTGAGAGACCTGCTGTTATAGAGAAGCTGACAAGCAACATGGGAAAGCGTAAAAGCTCCACCCCACAGAAGTTTGTGGGTAAGCTTGAGATACGCATTTTTATTATTTTTAGCATGTAGGTATAGGTTATGTTAATTCATAAGTACAGTCCAAAGATCAAAGGGGAAAATTAGACTCTGAGAATTGGGAGTGATGGGGAAAAAATTAGAAATGATTAAATCAAAGCAGAAAACAACATGAAAGTTACTGAGTTAGACTACTGTCAACCCCAAGCATTCAAATAATTTGACATTGGCTTAGTAATCATGATATTTTATTATGTGTTTTTTGTTGCTATCTGGAGTTTGAGGTTCTGGGCATTTGGGTCACATTTTTAGGGTTCCCCCCCCCATCTTCTGGGCCAGATGCTTACTTTTTTGTTATAAAAGCTGAAATTCTGGTGTAATCATGTGACTGCAGATCTATGAGCTTTTTTTTTTTTTTTTTTTTTTTTTTTTTTTTTTTTT